GCTAGGAGTGAGTCGATGATTATCTTGTCACGCCGTACTATCACTACTTTACTAGTACTTAAGTACTTTCTTGAAGGCACGGTTCACGATAAGAAGGTTACTGAGTTCTTCCGTTAGGAATACTCAGCGCCCCCCATGGGTGGTAGAAGGGAACCTCTCGCTCCCACAAACTCGGCGCTTTGGGCTAGTGGAAGCCCCGTTGCTGCCGTATGTAGTTCGCTTTCCCACCCCTTGATCGGTGTCACGTTAGACGAGTGTCGAGACAATACAGATTGCTATTATTCGTTCTAGGACCCACGCACAATCAGCTAATCGCCGAGTGATGAGGGGCCGAGTGTTTTCCCCCATTCTTTTTTCCTCTGTTTTTCTTTTTGCTGCCGCGATCCCTTATTTAATTTCCTACTCCTAGAGGCTGAGAAAGGTGAGCTCCTTTTGCTGTTAGTAGGCTTTTTTCGTTTATTTATGCTTATAAGTGAATGTATTTTTGCTTACCATTGTCTGTTCTTCGCACCAGGACCCACACGCGCGCAGTGAAACACACTGTTTAGCTCGTCCGGATGCCCCACTCTTCTTCATTTTTCTGATTTCATTCTCGTCCAGCCCCCTTTTCAGCGGTTTTTCGAAGCCTTTTTCACTTTGGAAACACCGATGCACGCAGTTTCTTCACCTCACTATTTTCCATCCCATCTTCCATTTTTTATCATAATCTGGATTACCCAAAATTATCGTGAACTGTGCCTTTAATAGAGGCATTGATTAAATGACCAACAAAAAACTAAGGAGTAAAATGAGCAATAAAAAATAACTATGATATCCGGCTGAAGACAAGGCTATCTCTATACGTTTTCCTAAAAATCCGTATAGCTAAGCGACAGCGTGAACGTTTTCGCTTACTGTAGACGTCGAACTGTTCAGAAAGGTCGGGGTATGCGGAGTTATGGGTAGTCTTGGATGTTATTTGGAATCATTTTTGATAAGAATTGGCAACCCCTCCCCCCGAGATGGTTCGAACCCTGATGCTTGCTGTACTGGTAAAAATTTCCTTCTCGAAAAAAGATTCTTATCTCCCCTCTAGATGACTAGATGAAGCTTCGCCATTCCGATGGTGACACAGACGCCCAGTACATACACAAAGTATTTCTGGGTATATCTTTGCATTGGCTGCTTCTAAAACCAAGGCTTCCACTATTCTTACCACCTAACAGTCCCTTCAAAACGCATAATTTCCAGTTGCGATTGAAGATATTCGTGAAATTCGAGTCGGGAAGAACACAGAACAATTGCGGCACAGCGATGCGAATTTTGGCGAACTTCAGGTACAGCTTGCATTTTCCTTTGTGACAGTTCAATTACTCAGATTTTTATCCAATTACTTGAAGGACGAATGCCTATTCTCCATTATCTACGGCGATGACTACGAAACTTTGGACCTCGTTGCCAGTTGTGCCGATGATGCGAATATTTGGGTCACCGGACTCATGGCACTCACCTCTACCAAATGTGAGTGCTACTTTTAAAGTGCTCACCATTTCTCCGAACTTACTTTTATTACATTTATTACTTTCATTATTATTATTATTTTATTAAGCTTTCACTACTTCTATTCTTATTTTTATTTACTACCAACTATTAAATTCACAAGCACTTCGAAAAGAGGGATGTACTGGTAAACAGCGCTCGGTGAAGCTTCCTACCACATAATATCAGCTGATGCTCCACGTTGCTCTTTCAAAGTCTTTCACATTCTAGACTTTATGCCGGGCCGAAATTGGACTGGGCAAATAGGGGAGACGGACGTTAGGAACGATTTTTGGTAATCGATTCGCCGCACGCGGCTCTCGCGGACCACTCATTCGATGTTATTACAGCTCAATCGATATGCGATCATTATTTTATGCATAATTCTACTATTAGTGCTTTTGTTCTTGTATTTCTTACCTACTGCTGCATCCTGCTACATTTCTTCGCGCACGACGCCCCTCTCACCGCGACGCGACCATTTCGTTCCTAACGCACCACACCCGGCAAATAGTGCTAGTCAGCCTAAATTTAAAACCTTTTTTTGGTTTTCCTTTTTCCCTTCTTAGCCATTTGCATTTACTTTACTTCAAAATCCTGCTGTTGAAGACAGTCATCTCAATACACGTTGATCTCTATACCTTTTCTCCTGAGAGCGAACTAAAAAAGCTGTGTAACAATGACAAAAGAGCTCCCAGCCTCTTTTTCCTAAAAATTCTCTTCAGGTTCGCTAAAACCGTTCGAATCAAGACGGTCATGTAAAACGGTCCATTTTTATTCCTGTTCTTTAGTACCACCCTTCTTTCGAAGCAACGTTTTAAAGTAAAGGGTTAAGGGTAATCACTGGGTGTTGATCGTCGGCGTGATGAATGTGAAAGGCGCATGTGACCTATACAATGACTAGCGCATGTACCAGTCAGTGCTTTTATCCTCCCAGACGAGTTTGGGCCAGTTAGCCGACCCCGGAAGGATGGAAGGCTTTGTTGGCCTACGATGATACGTCCGTTAAGTTACATACATCTAAAGTGGATGTTTTCCTGGCATTCTATACATGCAAAATAGCATTAAAATGGAGTTTGCTTTTCATGGAAATGTTTACTGTTTAATATCTATTTCTTATTTATATTTCTTATTAACATTTTTTATTAATTTTCAGATGACTGCAAGCCGACAACTATCGCGTGGGCTACTTTGCGGGAACGGTAAGGAGGATATGTATCATTGGTAAAAGAAAGTTATTGAATTTACAAATATTTTCATTTGAAAAGAGTTCTCACGCATCTTAATGAAGTTTGTAATTTTTATTTTATAGTAATTAATAGAACCCCGCTAGTATAGAATAGTTCTAGCTTAATGAATTGTAGAATGATAAAATCTGATATGATCTACTCGAAGACAATTTTAGACATGATACAATCACAGATCGAGCTTTTAGGTTAAGCTAAGACCAGCGGATCCTCCTAAGTTTAAGTTTAATTCCACTCCAGCATGTTTTAATATTAAATATTTCCTTCATCTCTGTCTTACAACATAAACAACACAAAAATAGTTATGCTGAAGAGAGTAAGTAGAAATTGCTCGACTATATCCCCAATCTGTAAGCCTAGATGAGATCAAATAGTTTCAGGTGGTTAGGAAGTGTGTTCGATGAGGAAGATCCCGATGGCAAGGGTTACATCGATCAGAATACTGCCGTTCAACTGATCCGTCAAACCAATCCTACCTTGTCCATAACCAGGATCAAGAATAAAGTTAAGGTACGACCTTCAGTGAATTCCACCTTTACAAAAAATATTGAATCTTAAATGTGAGTTTGATGAGTAGGCCCATTGCTCTTCAGCTACCGCCCCACCCGGTCATTCTGGCGATAACAGCCTGTTTTCGACCCTTCCGTGATTTCTTACTGAATTGCTGAAATCATATGAAAAAGCCTCATAGGGTGGAACACTGGCAAGGTGTTAGGCGTTGTTTCTTCGCATTTCGAGATGAACTTGATCTATTCGAGTTTAGACTTCATTCGAAATCCTAATGGATCCAGAAGTCTAAAATCAGATCATTCCAAGTAATAATGATCTGTGGAGCATTCGATGTCAGAGGTAGAACTATACAGACGAACCAGACACCAATTGAGCAAACCGAGATTGAAAAAATGTATCGTCAACCAAATCCACTTAATGCGTGAGACTCAAATTCCGCTTGAGCCAACCAGATTTTCATTACTGTAGTGAAGCTTGATTACAGCTGGACAACGGAGTAGGTTTCATCCATTTTCATGCCAATTGATTCCAACATTTCACAGTGTAGATAGGACATGCTTCGAGATGCCTCGATAGAAATGGAGAGCGGCACATCCACAAGGGCAAAAACTAATCTACGCTAAGTGATTTCTACTAAAGAAACGGTCTAATGAGGCTAATGCGCTGTTCCCCACTTTCACATCCCGGATGACTGGACTTCGTCAACAACCAGGAACCTTCTACTTTTGCCTTTGCAAAGGTGAAAGTGGATTACGTACAATGAATTCACAACCATTTCAACATATACTTTGAAATTTCCGAATGAAGGATGAATAGGTGGCGTCCTCTCCACCGGGAACAAAAGCCTTGTTGACGATTCGGGTTGAGACTGATTTTGCAGATTACCTAACTTATACTTTAGTCCTCGAGTAGACGGCATAGAGCGTTGTCGGACCAAGAAGCGAGCTAAAAAAAACTGACAAACAGGACCAAAGTTCGATTGAAACGCCTACTACTGCTGGTAGGTTTACAGAAGGAAGTGACAGGCATTCCTATGGAGTTCATGGTACAAAGTAGACCATGTTAGTAGCGTAGGGACTCCCTTACGCATCTGCCAACTTGCTCATGAGGGGCAAGAACCTTGCCCGAATGCTTCTTTTCATGGCTCCATGCTCGCACAATGCTTACAATAACCGGTATAGAGAGAGCTCAATTTACCGAGCCCTTGTACTTTTTAAGATTGTTACTCCAATGGCGTTCCAAATGACATGAACGCCTTCCAGCTGATTAATCATACATCAAGCCGTCTCTCGTTTTATGGTGTGCCTTCAAATCGCAGAATCTACTGACACCCAAATCACCTTTTATAAGGGCCTCTTGATTTTTTTTATTTCGAAGATTTGAAACTTTTATACTATTTAGTAGATCTGAAATACATGAGAACCGCCTGTTCATGCAACCACTTTTCCGACCCAATCTATGAATCATTAACAGCTCAAAAAACTACTC